CCCGGGCACCCGGGCACCCGGGCACCCGGGCCCGGCCACCGAATCGGTGGCGAACCCGGGCCACCGAATCGGCGGCACACCTCACCTACCCTTAAATCCGCTAGGACCCCTACAGAGGCAAGCTCTAATTGGGGAATAACTCCTCCCTGTCGCACCCCCAGAGCTGTCGAAAGGGCGAACCGGGCGTTTCCGCCTGAGACGTCCTCCCCATTTCTGGCCCTACAGTTGAAAAATTGACGACAGTTTCACACACGGAGGGCGGGTGGTTTTCAAAATGCGGCTGTCGCCTCGGCACCGCGCATAGTCGTCTCACAAAATTGCACAAGTTCCACGGATGGAGGGCGGGTCGTTTTCAAAATGCGAGTCTCGCCTCAGCGCCGCGCGCACTCGTCTGAAAAATTAGCAAGAGCTGCACGAATTGAGGGCGGGTCGGTTTCAAGATGCGGCTCTCGCCTTAGCGCCCGAACAGTCGCCCAAAAAAATACGAGAGCTTCACGGATTAGGGCGGCTCGTTTTCAAAATGTGACTCTCTCCAGCGCCGCGCACATTCGTTTTAAAAGCTCGCACGAGTTTCACGAATTGAGGGCTGCTCCCTTTCAAAATGTGGTTCTCGCCTTAGCGCCGCGCACATTCTTTCTAAAAGTTCGCAGAGGTTTCGCGAGTTCTCTTGGTGAACGTACCAGAATTAGAGTGTTGGACCGATTCATGACTGTCAGGCGCAACAATTACGTTGATTCGCTGCGTGAAAGTCCGAGGAGTGGTATCCTGGCACGATTCAGGATCACCAAGTACAATCAGGCTAACTCGCGGCGTTGAAGTCCTGAGAATGGTGTTTGGGCACGCTTCAAAACATTTACACGGTTGTCCCCCAACGGGGCAATGCCCTCAGTGGAAATGAACCGTCGTAGACGCATATGAAGGGGGAGCTTGAAGGGGTGTATTCCAACATCGCTGATGAGTCTTAGGTTTACACTAGTCCTCCTCCTGTTCCCCCTCCTCCTCCTCCTCCTCCTCCTCCTCCTCCTCCAGTTCATCCCGTCCACACCGTTTCATACTGCCCTCCCTCCCCTGGGCGACTGGGCATGCACCGCCGCCCTTCCGTTGACGTCTCCCCGTCCACCCTTCCCCATCTCCTCCCGCCCTGCCCCTCCCCACCGACAGAAGGAAGGGCATGATGAGAAGGGAGGAGGAGGAAGAGCAGGAGGAGGAGGAGGAGGAGGAGAGGAAAAGGAGGAGGAGGAGGAAGGGAGGAAGAGGAGGAGAAGGAGCAGGAGAAAAAGGAAAAGGAGGGGCAGGATGATGAGGGGCAAGAGTGGGGGGAGAAAAGGTAATTGTTTGGGACACCGCTGCCGATAAACAGTCACCAAAGAGGATTGGATTAACGTGTGAACGCAGAGGACGGAAAACGATACGAACTGTCGACGCACGGGGGTGCCTTTACGTGCTAAACTCTTGCGGTACAGCTAAATGGCCCAGTTACGCGCCTCCGTTGATTTTCTCAAATTTGGGCGTGAGTGCGACAGCGTGAAGCGAGGTTACGCAAGGCTCTGCGTTCTCGCGGGTTACACAATCGAAATACTATAGGTTAGCCACAGCAAATGCAAAACAATGCCGAAATATCCGCATGGGCCACAAATTGATAGCTCGAATCAGAATTCTTGCGTCCAGTCTGCTACCGCTAGTGGTTTGCGGGGACAGGGCCCGCTGGTCGAAGGGAAACACAGGGACAGGCAGCATTGCCAACTATTGCAGCACACTGGCACGACCTCCAACGCGGCCAAAACGAACGGAGCATGTAGCCTTGACGCCCTGCTTCCCTGCATGGATTATTTCAGGGCCGCGGGTACCGCGAGCAGTGGCAAGCTGCAGAGCAGACGGTCACAAGGCACGAGACAGCCAGGATATCGGTGAGAAACGCTCAACCTGTGCACGAGCTTTGGCATCCCGGGCCTTCCGTGGTACCTGGCCACACTGCCCAACGATGAAGATCATAATGGCGCCGCTTTCCCTGTACGACCACCCCTGCTTCCTTGATAGGGCCACATGGCCGCCACGGCGCGGTCACAGTATTCCGCGTCGCCGCGTCAAGCTCGGCAAAGACACGATACACTTTTTTGGTCGCGGCCGCGGGCGAAAGCGCACACGGCGAGTCGTAAGCCCGGGGCGCGGGCCTACTAATTGACAACAGCAAACTAGAGCCGTCAACCTAAACAGCCTAAGCGGCCTAAGCGGCGCCTCACGTGATGCAAGCTGTACTGAGTGTGGATGCCAGGGCCAGCAAAGACACGATACACGGTGCGTTGGTTTTCGTGTAGCTCAAGTAGCGGCCTTCGGCCCGCAGTCCATGATGCTCCGCGCGCACATCGCGCGGCACCTCACCACACGCCCCCTGCGGCAGAGCTAGAAGCTCCGACTCGGCTGCCCCGGCTCGCGCCGCTGCGACAATCTTGCACCCTGCCGCCGCAGACTGCACCGGGGCGGCAGAAGCACCGGCAGCACAAGCAGTGCCACTGCGGGCGCGGCGGACGTGGCCGCGTCGCCGGGGCCGCCAGAGGCACCGGCGTGGTTGTCCCTGCCCTTGCCTCCTTGGCGACTGATGCGGGGGACCTCCGTCAGGAGCCTGGACGCCGTGGCGGCGCTTGGCCTGGTGGCAACCACACATGTTTCCAAGCGCCCCGCTGCAAAGCTACATGTTGGCAGCACTCTGACCGAAGACCTCTTTGTCGTTCTCGTTGCGCTCGTCATGAAGTGGACCAATGGTTGTTCGCCTGCGGCCTTGCATTCAAGGCCCCCGGTCAAGAAGGACTCGCCCTCGTCCAAGACCAGCTGCCCGAAGCCCAGCAGGATGTGGCTGAAATGGATGCCCCCCGAGCCCGCGAGTGGAGGCGCCGCAGCCTTGCCACGTTCGGCGCTGAGGGCGCCAAGGGTATGCTGGGCCTCTGCCTGGAGGGTGGCGAGGTAGACCCCGCCTCTCCTCTGCCATCACCCGCTGGCACTGGTGCTGATAGGCACAGGATTGGCAAGCGGGACCTCGACCTTTGGATTTTGACCTTTTCTTTGCTCGTGGGCTGACGTCTAGCCTCAGCTCCCAAGGTGAAGAGTCGACGGAGCGACGAAAGGCCCGAAGGGACCGAGAGGAGACGAGGGACGGAGACCCAGGACCCAGAGCGAAGCCGACCGAAGGGACCGGCCGAACAAACAGGACCGAAAACCTCGAGGGCCACCAGTCAGCAGTCGACACGAAGGGGATTGTTCTGCATCCAAATCCCGACATTTTATCTCAGAGGCGGTCACAACAGAGAGGCATAACGCGATGGCTCCTATCTCAAGACCGCACCTCTCATCATCATCATCAACTCCTCCCCACCCACGTCTAAGGGATCTACTGTTTTTACCGTTTCCGTCGGTACCCCCTCCGAGGATCACCATAGGTGTGGCAATCGGGAGGGCGGAAACTTTTCGCAGCAGACCTAAACGGAGAGTGCTGGGAGCCAGAATCAGGAACATCGTCACAACGTGTGCGACGGGCATCACTGAAGGGGCCCTGGGACACACAAATAAATGCACACAAATAAAAAGATTCCCCATATTTTCCCATGTTTTCTGGGTTTCTGTCTTCCCCCCCACTTCCCATACTTTCCCATATTTTCTGGGGAATCGGCGATTAATTGTGTCTGTGTGTTTTTCCCCCTCCTGAAATGTGTGCGACGGGCATCACACAGTACAGCAACGAGACCAGCAGCACGAGCAGCAGGTTCCTGCGACGGCGAATCCAAGGACAACCGTCTGCGCACAAGAGGTCTGTGGTGGTCGGCAACGCACTCCGCCAAACCGTCAGCTGGGACTAGGAGGGCCTGCGTGGCGGATCAGTCCAAGCGGGTTGGGGCCTCAACATGGGACTGGCGGATCGGCGCCTCTCCTCAGAAGCAGAAGAAGCCGGCACAGACATCAACTTTTTGCAGCTCCGCGGGGATCTCTTGGATCTGCGCTGGACCCCCCCCATCCTGTCGCGCGGACCGTCATCAAAAGTTCATGTGTGTGCCGTTGTTTGTCCTTCGAGCCTCTCATGTCGTGCCCACTTCGCTCCACTTACCGTGGCCGCCGAGGAGGAGGCGGAGGAGGAGGAGGAGGAGGAGGAGGAGCAGGAGGAAGAGGAGGAGGAGGAGGAGGAGGAGGAGGAAGACCCACGAAGGCCCCGCCCAGTCCCGCACGGTCCCTTCTGCGCGCCTCCGGCCCCCGCCCCACTTGGCCTCCTCCGCGGGATCTCTCCCGGCTCCACCAGGCCGCCACACCGGCAGCGGCGCGCGCGACCCCTCCAGCTCCACCTGCACTGGCAGCAAGTACGCGCTCGACAGGGCGACCCTAGCCGGCGGCGTCGCGGGCCACCTCGGCGTGCCACAGGGAGCTCTGCCGAGGGCTCCAGCGGCGGGGTCCGCATGGCGGCCTCGGGCCATTCCGGCACTCTCCTCGCACGCTCCGCGGCTCCGTGGGGAGCTCCACCGAAGGCCACAGTGGCGGGGTCCGCATGGCGGCCTCGGGCCACTCCGGCACATGTCGGCGACAGCGGGCGGAAGCGCTGCGATGCGGGGATCGGGTGGGCCATCGCCCTCGCGTCGTGCAGCTGGCGAGGGGAAGACAGGAGGTCGTGCTCGCACCAGGGCAGGCCGTTCTGGCCCGAGGGCGCGGAGCCCTCCGCGGTAGGGGCCCTGAGCCTCCGCGGCGACGGGAAGGGAGAAGGGAGACGGGGGGAAAGAACGAGGAGAGGATGGACGAGGAGGAGGAGGAGGAGGAGGAGGAGAGGGAAGGAGGAGGGGGAAGGAGGAGGAGGAGGGCAGGGGGAAGGAGGAGGAGGAGGAGGAGGAGGAGGGCGGAGGGAGGGGGCCCTCCGCCCTCGCCGCACCTCTTCTTCCCTTTCAGTCCTCGGAGCCCCGATCGGCTGGCGCCGAGCACGAGGCGGCGCCGTCCAACATGTGGGAGCTGTCCATCTGCTCGCAGACGTCCTGCCCAAGGACGCGGAGAGGGAGGCCGAGGCCGAGGCCGAGGCCGAGGACGAGGACGACGACGACAACGACGACGACGACGACGACACATGACTCGGCTTGGAAGAACGAGACGAGACGACGACGACGACGACGACGACGACGACGACGGCGACGACGACGACGGTGGACCGCAACGATAAGAACATCGACGTTCGCTGGCGCCAAAAAACACAGCACATCCGCCACATCGCGTGCTAGAATGCTCGTCTGTTCACCCTGCGGAATGCTTAAGAAATCATGGGTTAAGAAACTCAGAGTCCGCCGACCCCTTGTGGGTCTCTAGGCGTGTGAGATAGTTCCCCCCCCTAACCCCCCCCCCCCTGGGACCCCAAACCGGAGATTTGACCCCCCCCCGGGCCCACTACGAGCGCACCACGGGGCTCTTGTGGGCCCAAAAGGGGATCAAGACGGGCCAAGAAGGCCCCAAGACTCCTCCAAGACGCCTCACGCGAGTTCCGAGGCGCCAAACGAGCGCTCCCAGACGCCCAAGATGGCCCCAAGACGAGCCTAGAGGCCTCCAAGACAGCCCAAGAGGCCTCCAAGAGCAGTCCTCAGAAGGGCCGAAGCGCCGAAAATTGACAAATTCCTATGGGAAAACGTACATGTTGATCATATACTCATTGTCGGCCTTCACGGCGTTGAAGACGGTCCCAGGGCATCCCAAAACCGGGCCAAGGGGCCCCCAAGAGGCGCCCAAGTCGGCCCAAGAGAGCGCCAAGACGGCCCAAGAGGCCGTCAAGACAGCCCAAGACGGCCCCAAGACGGCCCCAAGAGCTGCCCAAGAGGGGGAGCCCGCACCGACAATCCGAGCCCTCCGCCCCAAGACGGTCCCAGAAGGCCCCAACAGGCCCCAAGAGGCCCGCCGGACGCCCACAAGAGGCCCCAAGAGGCCCCCAAGAGCCCCCAAACCGGCCTCAAGAGGCCCCAAGAGGCCCCCAAGAGCCCCCAAACCGGCCTCAAAACGGCCCCCAAGAGGCTTCGAAACTGCCTCCAAGAGTCCCGCGAAAAGCCCCCCAAGAGATTCCAGCGATCACCGCACAAGTCTCAAATCAACGACCCAGGCATGGTGGCGGGGTTGCGTTTGCGCACACAAAAAAAATCGCGCTCTCGAGGGCAAGATTGCTTCAAGACGGCCCACGATGGCTCCAAAACGGCCCAAGATGCCTCCAAGATGGCCCAACACAGTTCGAAGACGGCCCAAGATGGCCTCAAGATGGCCTCGAAAGGCTTTCACTATCGCACACGACGTCTCCAAAATGACCCCCAGGACATTTGAGACAGGCGCACATTACGAATTTCATTACATGTCCATTGCGTTCTTGAGCTTTTTTGAAATCGTTGCCTTTCCCGGCTTCCGTCGCCTCACGTGGCCCAAAGAGCTTCCAAGATCGCTCCACGGCGCCCCAAGAGGGCCTCAAGACGGCCCCAGAGAATCCCAACATGGCCCACGACGGCTCCCAATTCGTCCTCAGATGACCCCACGACGGCAAAACCTGTCTCCAAAATGTTCCCAAGCTGGTGCAAGACGCCCCTAACCTAAAACCCATGACCCAGGGCCTTGTTTCTGTGTCCCCTTCCTCCTTCTCCTCCACCTCCTCCACCTTGGCCGCCGGGTGGGTTCAGAACGGTTCGTAGAGGTCCCCGAGAGGCGTGCCGCGAGATCCCTATACACATACAAGAAGCCTCTAACCCATACCCCATATCCCAGAGCTTCGTCTCTGCGCCCCCGTCCTCCTCCCCCCCCTCTTCCTCCACCTCCTCCTCGCCCACTCCTCCTCTTCCTCCCCCGCCTCATTCTCTTCCTCCCCGATTCTTCTCCCCCCATCCTCCGCCTCACCCCCCCCATCCCTCTCTCCCCCTCCACCCTGTCCCCCCCCGCACGCGCGCCCCCGATTGGGCATCAATTTGCAGGTCTCACATGTCAGGATGCCCTTTTTTTGCATCGCGTGCGACGTGGGCAGGGTTTCCGGAGAACGCCGACTTCGGTAGTCTTCTCTTGCACGCGCCGCCGCACTGATACGCCTGGCAACTGCGGGCTGTGAACCCGAGGGTGTTGCAGCCTCCGCGCACTACTTTCGCTCCTTTCGCCGCTCGATGATTTTCCACTTGCTTACGCTTCAAATGTTTCGTGTCAGAGAACGCTTCTCCACACGCCGCACACGTCAGTGGCCTCGCGTCCGCCTCGGCCTTCCGCTTGCGATTCGCTGCCTCCGCATTCCCCCGTCGCACCCCCTTCTCTCGTTCTTCCGCGCATTTCCGACAGAGCCTGTCCCCCGCCGCATTGTGCTTCTTCTGAGCGTCCGACATCTCCGCCTTTTCGCCATATAGCGACAGGCACTCGCCGTTCGTACAGCGCAAAATTTTCACGCTATGATTCCACTTCGCGCTGTCTTTCCGCGACTTCTGCTTGGCTTTGATACCGCTGCACTTCGCGCAGTACATTGTCCTAATCCTTTCGTTTCCCCATCGTCGGCCGCCGCATCCGCGTTCCGACCGCTACCATGGCGCGCCGCGTCGTTACTCTCTCCTCTGGTTGCCCACCCTCTGCGCGTCTTGCACCATTTCTCGCCCGCGCTTTTCATCTCCTCCTGGCATTCTTTGCAGAGCGCCGGCCTTTCCGTTCTCTGAAACTCGTACTTCGTGAACGCCTCTACCAACAACCTCCGCCGGCAGCGCTCACACTGGTCTCGTGGCATTAGTTCCTCTTCCCACTCATCCCATTCCACTCTCTCCCCGCGAAGCACCTGCAATAACTTTTTTGCGCCTGGCATCTCCCCCGCGTTGCACGGCTTCCTATCGAAAGGCCTGAGAATCAACAAGTCCTCCCGCCTCCGCACGCGCGTGATGGCAGCGTAACTTGCCATCCAACTCACGCCGCGCCCTCTTTCAAGATCTGCTATCGCAGCAGCCATGGTCCGGCCCTGCGCAGAGTGCGCCGTCGCTGCCAAAGCCGGGGTGATCATAAACTGCGTGCGCTCCACACTCAATACTGGATGCCTCCGATATCCGCCAAAAAAACATTTCCGCCCTTTCGATGGGAAGATGGGATACAGCCCCGGCCCCCACCCTGGCAGGTGCCACTCTTTCGCATGGAAATCCAACACAATCACTCTCGGCATATGCATCAATACTTCCTCCTCGCCGTTTCCAACGACCTCATCCTCCTGCAACGCCCATCCATGGATCGTCGCCGTGCGCCCCCGCAGAAGCTGCTTCTTCGACCGATCCAAGCGATCTCCCAAAGCCACGGGCATCCCCTTCGCCAACGGCAGCCACCCGGGCAAGCTTGCGCATTCCTTCTCGTGGTACCCCAGCCAACGTATCTTGTCCTCTATCGTGCACGGCCGCCTCTGTTCTCCCCCATGGCAAGGGCGGCCCCTGGCTGCGTCCCACAGCAACTGTTCTCCGCGCTCCTTCGCCCATTGCACAGCTCTCTGCTTCCCGACGTGACAACGACTGTCTTGATTCGCATATATGGCGACTGCTTCAAGGAATTTCGTTCCCCGAAACCGCGCATCGCGTGGCGACGTCGCAACGACTTTTTCTCTTCTCCCGCTCAGCTTTGCAAGCGTCACATTCGAGCTCGTTGTCTTTCGCGATTGCTTCTATGCTTTCGAAGCACCGCTTGCTCCCGCACAACGGTGCACCGTTCACCCACGACCCCGGAACATCCGTCGGTCTGCCATGCAAAAAATTGCGCGTGCGTTCCGACAACTCCCCTCGGCGGAACTCGCCCTGCACTGCGAGAAACCACTCGTCTTGATTCTCCACGCGTTTGCACTCTGTCAACTCTGTCATTCCCTGCACTGCGCCGTCGCCACCGGCTTCCCAAAAGATATACTGTCCGTGGTCCTCCGTGGCACCCGGCGCGTATTTCCTGGCGTTCTTCAAGTACGACGTCGGAAGTCCCTGACGGCGGGTCCCATTGATAGAAATCCCCGCAGAACAGCACATTCACGCCCCCGAAGGGCCTGGTTAGGCCGCCCCCACCCGCTTCCGCGTCGCTGGCAGCTGACATGCACGACCGCAAGTGTGAGTCTAGCTCTGCAATGAAGTTCGCGCAGAACATGCTCACCTCGTCTACTATCAGCCACTTCCACTGTGACATGCGCTGCGCGGCCTGCTCTTTCTTCGTTTTCTTCTTCGCTTCTGCGTCGCCCTCGCCCGCCGCGCCCTCCTTCTCTTTCGCGTTCGCCACCCCGAGCCCAAATGCACTGTGAATTGCATTCCCATCGAGAGCTGCCGCGTCTGTAGCCTGCAACGCTGCCACCTGGAAATCTACGCCGCGCGTCCACCCCAGCTCTTTTTCGAACAGCTCCCTCCGGATCTTGTCCATGACGAAACTCTTTCCCGTCCCCGGGCCACCGTGCAACATCCACACCAGGGGCTGCATATCAGAAGGGCTCGGGCCTCTAGTCCTTCCCTGCGCGGAACTCGCGAACTCTTGCGCCAACACTCGAACTGCCACCTTCTCAACGACGCTCCGTCGTCTCTCATTCAGACCGCTCTTCGCGAGACCGGATCTCCACTCCCGCACGCTCGACGCCGTCGCTTTTTTCGCCGTGACCACTTGCGGGGCACCGTCCGCTGCCCCGGCGCCGCCTCCTTCCGCCGCCCTCGACGCCGCGGCCACCGCTTGCGCTCTTGTCACTGCCGCGTCATCCCACCTCAACCCGCCGTCCTCTCCGTGCTTTTCGCGCTTTCCATCTTTTCGACTCGTCATCTCGCCCCAAACGGCGTCGCCCCTGGCCGCGGCCTCCCGGCTCTTCTCCTTTTCGCACTCCGCGTCTACATTGGCCCGCCCGCCCTCCTTCTCCACGGACGTGCCTCCCACGCGCGTCTCCCGTATAGTCGCCGCGTCGACAATTCGCGGATCCAGATCTGCATCGCTGCACAGCTCGTCTTCCCCTTTGACGAGATCTTCGTCTGTGACAGGTCGCATATCCACCACGCCCATG